TGTTTTTCCAAACTAACGCACGGGTTAATATTATAATGATTGCTTCCCATTCTCAAACAACAACAAGTGCATGGCACAATGGCAGGAGGGCACACCTATGAGATTCAGAGCGTGGGGTCAACACTCACCCCATACAAATTCTTTTTACCCTATTTTTTCTAACTTAATTATCTTTCTTTTTCTTAATTAATTCTTTTTTAATTAATTAATCATTAACTAACCTAATCTTTTTTCTCTTAATACTAATAAATTAGGATTATGGTTTTTAATTAGTAATTAAAATTTTCTAATATATTTTAATTAATTAATTAATTAACCTTTTCTTAATATTAAAATTAATTAGAAATAATTAGGTATTAATTAATTATTAACACTTGCTTATTTTCTAAAAAAAACACCAAAAACATTAACATTTAGAACTTTAGGTCTTTAAACATTTTTCTAACATTCTTTTATTTCTTACTGCTATTTAATTTTATTAGACAAAATGTATAGGTCGCACTATCGAGGTAATAGCTTAGATTTACATTCTCGAGGATGTAATAGTGTAGGTTTACTTTCTTGTAAATTGTAACTGCCCCAAAGCCATGTAATAGTTTAGGTCTTTACATTATGCGCTTTAATTTCATGTATTGTTAGTAACTAGGGTTTGTATGACAAAACTAAAAACAAATGTAAAAAAACCCTAATTCTCAAAATAAATAACTGAAATTAATACACTGTTCACACGTGCACCTCTAGGGTATCCTCTCTTGTTGCCTTGCGAATATTGGTCATGTCCCCTCGAAAGTGGAGATACTTTAGCAAAAGACCCTCGAACAAATCATCATATTCCCTTCGAATAAAGATCACAGTCCCTCGATGACCCTCCAAGTTACCTACAAAATGATGATAGTCCCTCCGATACAATTGCTAAAGTATTCTTACATGTTGTCTTCGATGACAATACGATGACCCTACGTCTGTCCATTCACATCCAATAGATAGGATTACCTACCAACTAATGGTATGAATAATACTATCTCTAAAGTAGAAGGAAAATAACAAGAAAGACCTTATTAGTTGGAAATAACTCCTAATTGCTTGCTCACAACCTTTTCAAAACATTTTTCACACATCATTTTCAAACAAATATTTTTAAAACATTTTGTATACATTCTTGAGGACTGATAGAATCATTACAAAGTTAGCCTTACATTGGCAATTTCAAAATATTTTCAAATCACACACACAAAGTAAGTTTTTCAAAAGCGAGTTAAGCAATTAAGAGCCCGTAGATAACTACAGATGAAAAGGATTCTAACACCTTCCCTTTTCATAACTTGCCCCCCGAACTCAAAATCTATCAAAGGTCTTTCCTGTTCTTTTCAACTTTCTTAAATATTAGATAAAAGAAAAGTCGACGGCGACTCTTGATATCCGTACATTTAGGTAAAACCAAAAAAGTCAGTTCTCTCACCGTATGACAGACTCATACCAAGGATTCTCATGATGATATTAATTCTTTTTCTACTTTATTTGCGGAATACGAATTCAATATTATTCTTGATTCGTGTTTCGCTTTATTTGCGAGATATGGATATGATTCAGACAAGCTTATGCTTTGACCCTCATGATTTGAGGAATATATAAGCTTGTTGTATTTTTTGCAGGATGACTTTTGTGATGATGTTTGATGCACATTATTTATGATTTATTTTCACACCGTTGCTTCGAGGCTTATGTTGGACGTCTGATTTTTGACTTGCTTTATTTGTTAATGCTAGCTCACTCAAAGTTTTCCGAGCTTCTTATATTTTCTTGCTTGCTTGCTACAGATTGTTATCTGTTTGGTATTTCATCTCTTCCTTTTTACTACTTCCGCACTTTACCGCTTTCATTGCCATGAGAAGTAGGATAGAGATGTATGATAGGGATCTCCTTTGTTGATCGTGTCAGAAATTCCCCTGGTTTATTTAAAGACATATTTACGACAATTCTGCATTATGTGTATTATGTATGTTATTTGTGCTTGTTTAAAATCCTACCTTTGAAGTAGATATTCCGTATGTGTGTTTACATTTGTGCTCGCATATTTCCCCACCCCAATAAGTTCTTAAAGGAGCGAGCGGAAAGAGTTCGCAATCAACCCCCGCATTTCGTCTGTGTCATCCTTAGCTCACGTTATACGATGATGTTCTGAATTTGTGCAGATCATGTGTATCGAGTCGGTCATGTGGAAAAGGGTTTCGCAATCAAACCCCCACACTTTGCCAGAAATTCGCAATGACTATTGTTGACACTTCGTTACCCGCTTGTTTGCTTTGGGTGATCCTCTCCCCTTAGTTAAAGAATTACTTTTCTTTTTTATTTCATATCAGTCTCCCGCTTGTTTGCTTCGGGTGATCCATCCCCCTTAACTAAAGTATTTTCTTTTTATACCCTCATCCCTTGAGTTAGTACACTCTGATTGTGTGCTTTTTCCAAAACACTTCTTTGTATATATCATGCTCCCTTAGGATGTGCTTGTTTCTTTGTAATATCCCCGGCACAATTAAACAGGTTGTCCCTTATGCGGGCAACAACTCGCTCCTCTCAGAGGACTTTGACCGTCCTTCCCGATCAAGTCTCCGGCCATGAAAGCTGAACTTAAGTCACCACCCTTTCGCTTAAGGGCAATAACTTAAGGGGCTCCTGATCTGGACTAGGCCTACACTTGCCCTTCGGATAGGAGACCCAAACCAACACCTTTACATAAGGCCCAAAAACAGACAACTCAAGTTATGGACCGTTGGGCAACTCCCCACACGTCCTTTGGGGAATGTGGCTCACGTCTTCATGTCAAAGTCACCTTAACTGCCCTCCGAAAATCACGGGTCTAACCCCTATTCTCATAGAGTAGTTGATCAGAGGGGAGTCCACTTGCTGGACTCCATACACACGTAAGCCCTGACATTTTCCGTTATTGGGCCTCAACGCGGCCCAATAATTTAGACCTTGACCCAGTGTTAGGGGTTATAAATACCCTCTCTTCTGAGAGGATCAAGTATTCAACACTTTCTAACTCTCATACTTGTTTGCTCATTCTGAAACTCACTTTGACATTGGAGTGCCTTGTAGGTACCCCCACTTCACTCTCAACTTCTGCTTGAGCTAACTGTGACGGTCCATTCTGATCAGGTACGTTCAGGTAGTATGCACAAAAAATATCTACATCGATCTAACGCTGCATGCTCTTCTAAGTAGTTACAATTTATTTGTCTCTTATAAATATTAAGTTGTATATATATTATCATTTATAATTATGTTTAATAATTTTTTTAAAATTATTAATTTGATTTCTAGTTTTTTTTTTAAGTTTTAATTTTTTATTTTAATTTTTTATTATTTTAAAAAAATTAATTCATTTTTAAGTATTTTAAATTAATAATTAAATTAACATAATAAAAAATCTATTTAAAAATAATATCAGAATTACAAAAACGAAAAAAAAAAATAAGATTACGCCATTTGATATGGCGGAAGTTCCAAACGGGAAAAAAGTGGACCTTTTACGTCAGTATTTTAAAAAATAATTTTGGGGATGTTGCACTTTGAAAAAAAAATCGTATTTGAATGATCCGAAACAACAATGTTTCTTTTCATTTACTTTTACTTAGAACTATTCTTATGTTTGTTCTGTCATTTTTCTTTCTTTCTCTATTTCCTAAATTTTCTGTTACTTTTACTTAAAATTTTGTTTATGTCATTTTTCTTTCTCTCTCTATTTCCTAAATATCAAGTCAGTTTATGCTGAAAACTATATTCAATTTTAGTATCTTTTGGTTTATGAAATATTTTGTGTACTATTTAACTTGCATTATAACATGCATTTTACATTTTCACCTGCAGACACAAATAAATATAAAATGGTGACAACACATTATTAACTTTTTTTAAGTCAACAATCAAACTAATTTCAAAAGGGTGTTTTTGATTGAAGCATAGACGGTGCACGTGTTAACTTTTTTTTCTTTTGATGATAGAGAAATGTTATTCTTACATTTCTATTGACACCTACACCGTACTATTCTACGGTTTAATTTTTAAAGAATTGTTTAATAATTATTTTTTCTCTTCTGACACAAAGAAACATGCCTATGAAGGTACTTTCTACGGTGTAAGCAACAAAGTGTAAGATTTCTAGTGTGAAAATAGCAACCCTCAAATGCATATGTAATTTACTCTTTCATGAGCTGAAATTCAAGTTCCTATCATGTTCATAGTTGCATGTATCAAAATCTAAAATCCACTCTGCAGAAGAAGTGTAGAAAAAACCCCAATACATTTGTTTTTGGTTATCATTTAAAAAACCTAAATTCAGTGACCTATCATCTTCCTGTTTCAAAGTCCTCGAAAATCTTTGGATTCATTTCAAGAAAAATCATTAATACTTAAAATGGAAATAAAAGCCAGAGAAACCTGAGAGTATCAGTAACATGATCAAATGGGGAAAAACTTAGATAAACCATATGATGATGCAATTGTTATATTTCCCATAAAAACAAGGCACAAACACACAAGAAAGACGAATTAACAAGATACCAATCGAATTGGCTATCTTACAGGGGAAATCACTTTTTGTGAAAAACATAAAATCACTTATAATTGAAACAAAACCATGTGAGAATAATTTCTTCAATTATAACAAAATTCAAACGAGATTTTAGTCCTTACAATATTTTAAAACAATCCATTAACAACATTAAGATAAAAGAAAAACCAACTAGTAGGATCTAAGATAAATTTGAAAGAACCAAAGTCTAATGTGGATAACTTAAGAGAGAGAAAAACACCCAGTTTACATTCTAACGAAATCAGTGAGTCTTAATTCAGAACCTGGAGAATCTTTTTCCGCCATGATCTATTATAAACTACAGTTCCCCATAACTTAGAAGAGCTCCAATAGAAGTGCACCCTTCTTTTATACTAATTGCAACAACAACTTCTACAGAGCTTATTCTTTATGATGGTTTCAGACTTCAAAAGTATTTCTTTTCATAAGAAGCCAGCCCATGAATTCCTCCTTCAACCTGTGCTGCTCCAGTACGAACCTGGACAAAAGCAGATCAACTATTATTCCGATAAACTAATGGAGTAACAATACATTGTGGTAGTTGAAAGTTATTTAGAGAATTTAGTTTTGCCCTCGGAAGATTATGAAACCAATTTTATGCTTAATGACACACACATCCCTTCTATTATTTGAACAAACACTTACCACTTCCATTTCTTGGGGAAATTGCAATAACCTCCCCTCAAGTGTGTTCAAACAACACACACATACCCTTATATTGCGTCTATTTTACAAAATATATGGGAGGTGAATGTAATTGATAGGAGGCCAATGTCTTTTACAAAAATAGAAGAGGCCACTTTGACATTCTCATGGGATGCGAGTGCAATTTCTGTTATATTTTTCCTTTTTCTTTTTTTTTTAAAAGCCTATAAAAATTATATTAAAGAAAAATGCAAGGGCATAAGACATGCCAAAATGTTACAAATCTCATGCAAAAGATACCACATTCAACTCATATCAGAACATGGCCATATCCTATATCCCAAACATGACAAAACAGCAAACAGAAAAATTCTGCTACATGACAGTACAGCAGAAATCGAAATTCATCTACCAGGCACTACAATACAAGGCTTTTTTAATTCTAGAGTTACCTAATCCTATTACTAGTTTCCCACCAATTCCAAAAGTATCACCGTGGAAACAAAAGCTAGTGAAAAAAAAAAAACTATGTACATTAGTTCAATAGAAGATTGGCAGTCAGTCAACAAACAACATCAACTATTTTTTACTGTGCAAATGAAGCAGGCTACATTGACTGCTAAAGCTAATAACCATATCAAGAAATAAATAACAAGTCAACTCGGTCAAACATACCTCTAGCCTTAACACCCTGGATCTTAGAAGGTCATGTGCAGACTGCAAAGAGTTGGCACCAATATCCTGAAACCCTTGCCGTACGGCTTGCGCGGTGTATGGAATGAACTTTAACACAGAACCCTTATCTTTAACAGCTCCAACAACCCCCTGGGCAATTTTAAGCTTAGCTGTATCACCGAGGTACCTTTGATCACTGCCTTGAGTCATAGCTTCAAGGGAACCCATTCCTCTATACTTCTTGACACGTTCGCCATTCTGGTGCAGAAAAAGTAGTTATGCATAATAGATCGTACAACTGTATTTATCCTTGCTTAAGTGTGTTAAGAAAGGAGCATCGACAAAACTATAAAACTAAATGACAGGAAACAAGAGAACCACCAAAGGAAGAGTAAGCAATGTAAAAATGTTTTCATAATATAGTTGCTTTTCCATATCCACACCAAATAAATAAAAAACACCTCAGAAAGAATCAAATCCTCTTTTCATTAAGACATCTATTTCTAACCAAAATAGTTTTAGCTTACACGAGACTAACAGCCCCTTTAACCACAGGTATTATTATGCACAGTCTCTTTCTGATGTTCTTTATCTTTAAAAAGGTTTTATTTACAATACTTTCATCGACACACAGGGCAAAGATTCTAATCTTACGAAAAGACTACAACAATACATAATATTACATCCGGGTTTGGTACCTGATAAACATAAGCTCCAGGAGCCTCAAGACTACCAGCTAAGAAGCTTCCCATCATAACAGTGGATGCTCCCAACGATAAAGCCTTTACAATATGACCAGAATTTGAGATGCCGCCGTCCGCAATTACCGGAACTCCACTTTTATAAGCAATGGACGAGACCTTGTAAACTGCAGTTCCCTGAAAAACACAAATACAATATTAAGATACAGGGCTTTGAGTAAAAGCTGGAATTTGTTAGCAAGAACATGAAATATTACAAGCAGCGTAAAATCTTGTGTTGAACAAATGAGAAAACCATCACTACCTAAAGGTCCATCTCTGACCTTTTTATCTTTTATGTACTTTAAAGAATGATCATAGAAAGGATATATTACTCCATTCCAAGATAAGGGTGTGCCACACAAGCATAACTGAAATAGTTTGCTACAACCCTGATGTAGCCGCCACAAACGCAATTGCATTGCAAAACAGTCCCAACTCTATGCTACTAGTTTAGCGAAATCTCGAATTAACAAATAAGGTCTGTTTGGACTATCTTATTTTAACTTATCCACTAAAATAAGCATGTGTGGGACTATTTGGGACAGCTTATAGAAACAACATTTAACATGTCACAGCTTATTTTCATAAACTCTCTAGGGTGGCTAGTGAAAACATTTTATAGTTTATATGATGACAGCTTGATTTCATTTAACTTTTTGTTATAGAAAAATTCTATACATAAGCACTTATAAGCTTATTTAAGTTGTTTATCCAAACATGACCATAATCAAGGCTTTAACAATTGAAATCACTAATGAATCCAAAGGCAAATGCAACAAACTGTTCAAACTTTGATGTTAACAGACAACATAGACAAGACTTATTGAAATCCAAACCGTTATACAAATAATATAATAGTTTCCATTAGGGGTGTTCAAAAAATCCAAGAACCAAACTGAACCAGAGAACTGAGCTGAACCGAACTGATTTTAAACTGAACCGTTCGGTAAAATTGAGAACCAAACCTTGTTTACCAAAATGGTCTGTGAACCGAACCATTCATTAGAAACTAGTAGTGAACTGTAACATAACTGAACCAAAACAAATTCTCATAGCATAAAATCAGATCAGTAAAACCCAAATTAAATCAAACAAATCCTAAAACTAGAAAACCCAAAAATCATTAATCAAATAACCCCAAAACCCAAATTAGAGATAATAATTGAAGCTCTGTCGTCCAATTTTTGTCTGAAATTCTGCCGTCGAGCATAGCATCGCAACCCATTGCTCAAAAAGATCAACTGTGCAGCAGTGTCGTCGCACATTTGTGTCACGTAGTAACACATTAGCGAGTAACATTTGCATCGCATAGCAGTTACGACATGAGTATAAACTATGCCACAACTAGAATCTCTATCTTAAATGGATTAGCCATCTCCAAAATTTTCAGCAACCTCCCAATTTAATTTTCTGCTAACATGGCCAGGTGCATTAATTTGATTTTCTTTTTCATATTTTTTGTGGATTTTGTTGCTTTGTGCTTTGGCACTTGCCTTTGATCTTGTCTTTCTATTTTCAATTTTCATGTATGTTTCTGATCTATCAAGTTGAGGAATTTTTGTTTCAGAACATAAATGACCTCCTTCTGAATTTGTCTACTATGTGTTTGTGTGCATGAACCTATTTAAATTGATATGCAGAAAAGAAAACAATTTACATTTTTGAATAAAGGTTTCCATTATATTTTTGTACTATGTGTTTGTGTGCATGATCCTATTTAAATTGATATGCAGAAAAAAAATTACATTTTTGAATAAAGGTTTCCATTATATTTTTGTTCTGTTCAGTTAGAAAATGTAGAACCGGTTCACAGAACTCTTATGACAGTTTAGTTTGATCAAACTTTGATGTTAAGAGACAGGTAAGACAGGAGTATATACCTGACCACGCCCAACGGCACAAACTTCTTGAGTGGTACAAATCGAACCAGAACCCATACCAACCCTCAACCCATCAACACCAGCTTGAATCAAATTCTCAGCTTGATACATAGTCACCACATTCCCACCAATAACATCCAATTCAGGATACACCTTCTTCACATACTTGATCATCTCCAATTGATAAATAGAGTTCCCTTGAGAACTATCCAACACCACAGCATTTGTTCCAGCTTTCACCAAATGCTCCAACCTCTCTTTATCTTCCTCCCTCGTCCCAATTGCCGCTCCCACCATCCACTCTCCATCAGCTCCAACTGACCCTCCGGTGGCCAATCTCGGGTAGCCTCTCACCCTCTCAACCTCCTCTTTTGTCACCAAATCCACCACTTCTTCACCTTTCACCAAAGCAACAATATTTCCCTTTTTCTTCTCCAACTCCTCTTCGATTTTTGTAAGATCGGAGCTTAACGGAAGAGCTGACGGTGGAGGCTCCATATAGTCCGACACTCTCAGGCTCTTGTCGTTTTGATTCGACCAATTCGCCTTCGTGACAAAACCGATAAACTTCCCGGTTGAATTACCGGAATCTGTAACCAAAATAAAAGGCGAAGCAGCGAAATCCTCGTCAGACTCAACAACATCAGACGGAGAGACGAAAACCGGCTCAGAGAGGATAGGTACACGGCGGGACTTCGCGGCACGGATTAACGCAGCCTGACGTGAGGGAGTAGTGTTAGGATGAACAATAGCGATGCCTCCAAGTGCAGCCATAGCAGAAGCCATGGAAGATTCCGAAACAGTATCCATCGGAGACGCAACAAAGGGAGTTGAAAGGGAGATATTGCGGCTGAGACGGGTGGAGAGGTCAACGGCATCGGCGGCGAAGTCGATGTAGTGAGGAAGAAAAATTAGGTCATCGTATGTGTAAGAGAAGCCACTGTTGAAAAGCTTCTCCGCCGCGAAACCGTCTTCAATCGGCGGAGGAGTGAAATCCATGGTGTTTGATTTGGTTGGCGTGGAGAGAAGAGAGTGAAGTAGGTTTTTAAATACTGTGGCGGCGTGGAAAAGTGTTTTGATGTGTTTTCACGTGTTTCACGTTCCAGCCATTTGAACGAATTTTTAAAATAAATAGAAGAAAATCTTAAAAAAAATTAGATTCCTTTATCTGCTAAATTTTCCATTTTTGAAATAAACTCACCAAGAAGCATCACGTGAGCTTTTTTTTAGAATAAGATGGACCCTGCTAGTTTTGTCATGTTAGTACGAGTAAAAATATAAATATATATAAATATGTTATTTGTTAACGTATACCCACGTGTTTTGTTTTTTTATAAAAGTCTATTTTAATAAATTTTAATTAAAAAATGGTTAAATATAAATTAAGAAGGTGTATTTGTTGAAATAGATATTCGTAAAAATAAATGAGTGTATTACAATAAATTTATGAAAATTATTATAATATACTCACTTATTTTTATGAAGATGTATTTTAATAAATTTTAATTAAAAAGTAATCAAATGTATTTAAGGTATATTAAAATAGACTTTGATGAAAATAAGTGAATCTATTATAGTAAATCTCATATAAATATATTATTTCTGTCTCATGATAAATGTTTTATTTAAATTTTATATCGTTCTAAAAAAACGATTAAATCTATTGATTTTAATGATAAAATTAATATCATTTATTAAAATATTTTTATTTATTATAATTAATAGAGTTGTTGAAAAATGTAAAAGTTAATAAATAAGAATGTAATAGTGAAAAAAAATAATAAATATATTAGTATTTAAAAAAAAAAGATTTATTTTATCACATAAAAAATATAAATAAAACATTTATTATGAATCAGACCGAATATAAAGATAAATATAAATATTTATTTATTTGTTATGATTGCATTATTGCACGTTGTGTACAGCTATGCATTTCAGAGCGTTGGTAAATGGTGAATAACGTCTGATTAATAATGTGTTGTCATATTCATTTACATGAATAATACTCCATCTATTTTAAAATGGCTTTCATTTAAAAATTGTATACATAAATTAAAAAAATATAATAACATTGTTATAAGATATTACATTTTTATAAAATTAACATTATTAATATATTAAAAATAGTGTAGAGAATAAAAAATAAATAGTACAATTAAAAAGATATTAATTATTACTCATTTTAAAAGTAAAAATAATAATAATTTAAAACAAAATTTATTTATTAAAAAGACAAACATTTTTAAAGTGAGAAAATAATTGAATTAATTTATTGAATTCTACTGTATAGTTTTTGTTTTGTTATTGATTTTTTTTTTAATTTTTAATTATTGAATGTAAAAGATTTGATTTTTTGAAATTTGATTTCAAATAGTACCTACTACCGTTACCTTTACTTGTTAAAAGTTGTTAACTTCTTAAGCCATTCAATGAATTTATGTAATTCTTAAAATATCATATATATATATTTTTTTTTGGTTAGGTCGGAAATCCACCAAAATATTTATGATAATTTTTTATTAATTTTGATGAACAAGATTGATATCATCACACAATGAAAATGAATTATGAGAAAAAGAAAGAAAATAATTATTTTCTACAGATTTATTAATCACTTGCAATTGCAAATTCTGTGATTACAATGAATTGACTTGATTGTCTTGATTACAAAAATAAAGATTACTCCCTCTATTTATAGATTTAGATTGACTTGCTCCTAAGCTAAAGCCCAAAACTATAAAAGCCCAAAATACATATTTTGGTACTAAATAAAATCTATCTATTTTATATCTAAATCAAATTTATCTAAATTTAAAACAAATCAAATATATGTGTAGCATTTTCGACACATCTACTTCGACACTCCCTTGTCTCTGTCGAGCAAACTGCTTCGACACAAAGAATTACTTTCAACACACCACTTAATTCATTGTGTCTAAGTTATATACATTCATCATAGCTCTTAGTCTTCTAAATACTTCAACCTGCACACCCTTCGTCATGATGTCTGCAATCTGATTCTCAGTTCTGCAGGGTTCCAAATTCATCTTTCCATCTGCTACCTGCTCTCGAAGATAGTGGAACCTCATTTCGATGTGTTTGCTTCGACCATGTGCTATCGGGTTTTTCACCAGATTGATAGCTGATATATTGTCGATCTTCATGGTAATTGCTCCATGATCTTTCCCTGTTATCTCTTCGACCAAGTTCACCATCCAAGTTGCTTGACAAACACAAAGAGAAGTAACTTTGTATTCTGCTTCGCATGATGATAATGCCTCTACTGATTCCTTTCTTGAACTTTAAGCAACGGGTGCACCACCTAACATAAACACATACCCTGTTGTTGATTTTTGATCTTCAGCATCACTACACCAACTCGAATCAGTGTATCCCACTAACTTACATTCTTTTCCTTTATCAACTGCAAGAAACAAAATTCCATAGTCGATAGTTCCTTTGAGATACCTTAGTATCCTCTTCACCACTGCTAGATGTGATACCTTTGGCCTCTGCATGAATCTACTTACCATACCTACACTATATGTTAAGTCAAACCTTGTATGACAAAGGTATCTCAATGACCCAATAAGTCTTTTGTATTGGGTTGGGTCGACATCATCTTTATTTGCATCTTTCGACAGTTGCAGTCTTGGTTCTGCAAGTGTCGAAGTTGAGTTGCATTCTTTCATCTCAAATCTCTTGAGAATTTCTCCTGCATATCTTCTTTGATGCATCATCAAACCTCTACTGCTCTTGTAGAATTCAATGCCAAGGAAATATGAAATCTCACCCAGATCAGACATTTCGATTTCCTTTCTGAGATCACCTTTGAAGTTTTCGATCTCAGTTTTGCAGGTACCTGTTATCAATAAATCATCAACATAGAGACATAGTATAAGCAATTCACTATTGCTTCTTCTTACATATACTTCATATTCAGTTGTGCACTTCACAAATTCATTTTTCCTTAGGAAACTATCAATTTTCTTATTCCAAGCTCTTGGAGCTTATTTCAATTCATACAAGGCTTTATGCAGTCTGTACACCTTTCTCTCTTCGTCATGTTTCATAAACCCAACTGGTTGTTTAACATAAACTTCTTCGTCTAAGGGTCCATTCAGGAATTCACACTTCACGTCCATCTGACATATGTGTCATCTGTTTATTTCTGCTAGACCAATAACCGACCTGATTGTTTCGATCCTAGCAACAGGTGCAAAAACATCATCAAAGTATATTCCTTCTTTCTGTAGAAATCCTTTCGCCACAAGCCTTACTTTATGTCGAGTTACTTTCCCTTTGGGATTCATCTTTACTTTGTATACCCACTTGAGATCAATTGCCTTCTTGCCTTGAGGCAATTTGACAAGTGACCAAGTATTGTTGTCTTCGTAGACTTTACTTCTTCGTTCATTGCTTTCACCCACTTTGAATCCTTTAATGCTTCAGCTGCATTGACAGGTTCGACATCTGCATATAAAGAATAATATACCAACTCACCTTCATTATCTATTACATCATCTGATGTAATCAAACAATCTTTCAATCTTGCAGGCATGCATCTTGTTCTTTGAGGTCTGCTTGTACTTGGTTGATTTATAACTGATGGTTCCTCTTGTCAAACTTCTCTTTCGACTTGTGTTTCTGGTTCTTCAAGTAGGAATCCCACTTAATATTTCTTGACATTTTCAGTCCAATCTCATTCTTTAAGTTCATCTATGATCACGTCCCTACTAATCACAATCTGCTTGTTCACTGGGTCGAATAACTTGTAACCTTCTGTCAAATGATATCCAACTAGAATCATTTAACTCAACTTGTCATCAAATTTTCTTCTCAACTGATCTGGCACATGTCTATATGCAATAGATCCAAATACCTTCAGATGACTCAAGCTAGGCTTCACACCAGACCAACATTCTTCTGGAGTAATTCCTTCTAGCTTCTTCGTAAGACATCTATTCAAAATGTATGTTGCAGTCGACACAACTTCACCCGAAAACTCTTTAGGTAAAATTTTGCCTTTCAACATACTTCTCACCATATTCATGATGGTTAAATTATTCCTTTATGTAGTTTCATTATGCTGTGGAGTATAGGGTGGCACCACCTTATGCATAATCCCTTCCTTTTCACATAACATGTCGAAGTCTTTCGACACATACTCTCCACCATCATCAGTTCTCAAAACTTTGAGTTTACGACCACTTTGTCTTTCGACCATAGACTTAAACTTGGAAAATACCTCGATCACTTCACTTTTCTTCTTGATCAGGTAAGTCCACAACTTTTGATTGAAATCATCTATGAATGTAACAAAGTATTTGTTACCTCCCATCGAATCCACCTGGATTGGTTCATATACATCAGAGTATATGACTTCAAGAATAACCTTCGACATGCTTCCTGCATCTTTGTTGAAGTTATTCTTGTGCTGCTTCGCATGTACACATTCCTCACATACCTCGTTTGGAATATCGATTTCCAGCAATCCTGAAACCATATTTCTTCTCTTCAAATCTCTGATGTCTTTGAAGTTGAGATGGCCTAGTCGATAATGTCATATCCATTCATCTCTGCTAGCTGCAGTCGAAAGGCACTTATGCTCCATCATATTTAGTTCGATCTTGAAGGTTCTATTCTGAGACATAGGAGCCTTCAAGATTAATCTTCCATTTGCATCGACGACTCTCATCATCTTATCTTCGACCGACACTTTATAATTCTTTTCGACCAACTGTCCTATACTGAGCAAATTGATCTTCATGCCTGGTATGTACAACACATTGGAAATTACCGACCTCTTGCCATCTTTCCTCATAATCATAACATCACCAATACCTTCAGGTGCTAGGGTATTGTCATTTACAAATTTTACTATATTTTTCATTGAGGGCTTTATGTTGACAAACCAGTCTTTCCTTCCAGACATATGTGATGAGCATCCTAAATCCAAGTATCATTGATCCTTGAATCTATCTTCATCTCTTGGT